TGAAAAAGTTACGGGAAGGGAGTTTGCTTTTTCCCTGTTGTCATAGGGGCATGGCTTTTCTGGGTGGTCATAGTTGCACGCCCGTCTTTTTTCCAATTTCCCATGTCTGAAGATACCAAGTGATAGTTTGCACGGTTTGGGTTTTTCCGTTTCCCTTTGGGGGTTTCTTGCTGTTTTCCCTTTTGGTGCATGTTTCCCTGTCTATTCCATCCCCCCTAGCCCCAAACAATGGACCCCCACCAGTTGTTTTTGGAAATTTAATCCTCATATTGCTAGTGGGGTCCTTTTTTGCATTTCCTTGGGATTTCTAGTTTGCAAAATATTTTTTTTACTTTTATTTTACAACCTTGTTCCCCATCGGCCCCGGGGCTCCCGAGGTCTTTTTCATGCATTCCTTCCTGCGTATATTTCCTATACCCGGACAGCACCTCCAGCTTCACCATTATGTTCCCAGGACAGAAACCCCAGCTTACCTTACTGCTCCCGGACAGCACCTCCCGCTTCACCATTACTGTCTCCCAGGCAGCACCCCCCTTCCATTACGTCTCCCAGGACAGCACCCCAGCTTCACCATTATGTTCCCCGGGCAGCCTACAGACCCCCCATTTACTGCTACCAGACATACCTCCAGCCTTACTTTCGACACATGGCCATATCAAGGGCATACCATTCCCCCAGACTTTTTATGTTCCCATCGTTGTAAAAGTTTCCCGGGTTTGTCTATGAAAGCACTTGATGTTATCCTCTTTTAAATACCCTTGTGTTTTTAGTCCAAGTTTTATCTCATTGGGAAAACCCAAAAAAAAATTCCCTGTTTTAATACTGCTTGTACTAGTTTTTGGGATACTGCACAAGGGGGTGACACCAAAATTTCCCAAAAATGACAATTTATTCATGTGAAAATTTGTGGGGATGCCCCCAAGTGAGTCGCCTCCCCTGGCAAACTCTGTTGACACGAGCTCTGGGGTGGGTCCCTCCCTACAATGGTTAAGGAAAATTTTCACAAAAATTGGTATTGCAAAAAACCCTCGCCTGCATCCCGTATAAAGGTAACTTATTGGTGTTGCAGCATATACCGATTTCATTTCCCCAAAGCTAGCCTTTCCCCCTTTGGACCCCCCCTCAAAACACTAAAACCGGGGCATTAACCCTGCAATATTCAATCGAATTAGTGTCCTCCCTGCCCCTTTAGAAATTCCTATATCCAAGAGGGTATTTCCCCCTAGTATAAACTATGCGACTAAAACCTAGTTTCAGACGGTCTGAGACCTGGTACTTCTGGCATGCTCTCTCTGTTGCACACCGGCCCACAGCAAAAACTCAACCCACAATCTCCAAGACACTGGCCAAATTACGAGGAAAAAGGTGGGTTTTGTCTTACTGTATGGGCTGATGGAGGAGGTCATTACGGTACTCAAGGTGCCTCTCCCCAGATTTCCCAGGTCTCGTGTGAAGACACTGGGGGGGCCGTCTGCTACCCGGCACTTTGCCAGTTGGGTTGTCGTAAAAGAACGGTGGTCCCCCTTCCAGACCCTCTCTCTTCGTTCAAATGGGGCTCCCCTTCCCCTAGCAAACTTATCCTAGTGTTTTCCCTTACTTATCCCCCCTTTTTACAACCTATTTAAGGTTTTGGGTCTACATTATTATTATCTACATTTCCCTTAGTAAACCTAATTTAATATACATCAGAGAATACCTACCCTTCCTGAAGAGTAATCTAAAAATTTAAATAAGCTTACCAACAATGCCAACCAAAAAGCTTTTTTTGTTTGGGGGGGTTTTAAGGGGCCCCCGGGCTCAGCCGTCCCAACCCCTGCTGACTGCTGGGGAACTTTGGGCCCAAATTTTTTTTCCCACCATGTGGAACCCCTTTTGTTTGTTGACTGCAGACTACACAGTTTCATAATGATTTGAAGGGTTGATTTACTGTAATTCTCTAGAAAACTTTTGAATACTCTATTAAAACCCCCTTAAAATAAACTCTAGCTATTTGTTTTTTCTATTGCTGTATAGCCCTGTGGCTTACGCTTCTTTTTGATAATAATAAATTAGCGCTTCTTTTTGTTTTAAAAATAATAATGTATTCTTTTTCTAATGAATTTTAAATTTTGGCGGGACTAAAGAAATCGAAGACACGATTGCAAAAAAAAGGGTTTTGTTTGCAATCGGTCATTACGATTTTTGAGTCATGTTTGACGGCGGGAAAGGGGATTGGGTAGAGTTCGCATGGCCACCTAGGGAATTCATCTGTAAAAATTTGCATTTTGGTACAGTGGTGCCTTCAAACCCTTCCTATGGGTAAAATATACCTATTTGGTTTATCTTTTGTGGCTAGCGGGTCTAGGGGCAACGCAAGGGCTGAGTTTGAGACTCATATCGCGGGTTAAACCCCGGGCCCGGGGGTATGGTTTTTTATTGGACAGCTTCCGTGTACGTTCCTGTTTATATTTATTTTTTGTGTTTTAAATCCCTTTTGTTGGTGGGGGGCCTTTATTTAGGATTGGATTTGTGCTCCATTCCCCGAATTAAGCCCGAATGCCTTCCCCACCCCCCCAGGGCTGTATAATCCCGGTTTTTGCTTTCCCCCCCTTTATTAAAAATAATTTTGTTTGAAAGGGCGCCTGCAAAACCCCACCCTTTACAGTTTGTTTATTTCCCAAAGAAAACCTTTGAAAAACCCTCCCCGGTTCGGACCATCAAGGGTTCGGACCCGTCGAGGGTTTGGACCAGTCAAAGGGGTTTGGAAAAATCTGATCTGATCGTGGGTCACTTATTTAAAAAATACTGGGGGGTGATTTGGGCTAACACATGAAGGATCTATTTAAATTTTCTAACTGGTAATGTATTTATTGTACAAAAGTATAAAATTGGCGTGTTGAAGAACCGGTGATTGCTGGGATCCTACATGACGAACGGCGAGCCTAACCCTTGTTTATCAAACCTGTATTAGCTTTTCTGGTTTTTTTCGTCTCCACCACAAAAATGCTATATTTCATATGTTGACTGGTGGAATTTTGGGGAAGGACGCTTTTCTGTGTAAAAAATTGCTTCTCGTTTTGTATATTTCGACTGGGTAACACAGGTTTTATAGATTCATATTTATGTTTGGTATTTCAAGAAAAAAAAACTAAAAAGTCACTCCACTCCAAATTAATACCCCCCCCAAGGAAGGTTCCTTGAGTTGGTGAGGGGGTCTTGATTTAGGGAAAGGATCTGTGCTCCATTCCCCGAATTTAAACCGAATGCCTTCCCCTCCCCCCCCCCCCGCGCGTATAATCCCCGGGGTTTTGCGCTTCCCCTTGATTATAATAATAATAATCCACTAAATACCATATAATACTGGTTTGTTGCTACTACAACAGTATTTGCATTCACTGGTACAAAGTTATATGCGAGGTACACTAGCAGGCCCGGAAAAATTTTTAAAACAGCTGACCTCTTGGGGAAGTTTTTTTTTGGCAATTCTGGCACCTCCCTTAAAAGGGTTTTTTCACCTTTATTTACAAATTCACCTGTTTTTAAAAGACCTTTTAAAGCCTTTATCATCTATATACTAGGGAGCCACTGTAGTATACACTAAAACACAATGTAACACACTGTTATCAGGGAGACTTTCTTTCCTCGACAAAGAAAAGTTCTATCATTATTTTTTTGCACACGGAACACAGGCCTATGATTCCCCTCTGGCACTAAACTCTGCTAGGTAGTGCACACTAATTCTCCTTTTTTGACTCAGTATATAATGTTTTCCGCCCAAGATTGGTTCCAGGCGCTAGAGGGATGTATCGTATAGGATTGATGGCACAAATTAAAGTTCTAGCACGTAAGAGTGACCATTGAAAACGAAAAAAACCCGGAGCACAACAAGGCACGCTGACACGTCTAACAATTATGTTTTTTAAACACGATTATATTGCTATACCTGGAGAGGGTTCCAGGGGGTAACGCCCATGCGGCCCAGTCTGTGACCAGGCCTCATGGTGGATAAGTGCCTGGACCACCAGGCTGTTACTGTTGGCTGCACGCAGCCTGACGTATGAACTACAGCCTGGCTGGTCAGGTACTGACTTTAGGTGCCTGTACAGTGCCTGCTTGAAGACAGGGGTCTATTGGTAATCCCCCTTATATATGCTGTGTCTCTTATTGTGCTAGTGGCACCCCTGCTTGTCATTGGGGGGATGTTGCATCATCTGCTGAGTCTTTTGCTTTCATAGGGAGTGATTTTCGTGTGCAAATTTGGTACTAATCCCTCTAGGATTTTCCAAGTGTATATAATCAAGTATCTCTCCCACCTGCATTCTAGGGAGTACAGGTTGAGGAACTTTAAGCATTCCCAGTAACTGAGGTGTTTTGTTGCAGTTATGTGCGCCGTGAAGGTTCTCTGTATATTTTCTAGTTCAGCAATTTCACCTGCCTTGAAAGGTGCTGTTAGTGTGCAGCCATATTCCAGCCTAGATAGAACAAGCTTGGCATTCCTAGTTTTGAAGGTTCTCATTATCCATCCTGTCAGTTTTCTAGCAGATGCGATGGATACAATGTTATGGTCCTTGAAGGTGAGATCCTCTGACATGATCACTCCCAGGTCTTTTACATTAGTTTTTCGCTTTATTGTGTGGTTGCAATTTGTTTTATACTCCGATGTAGCTTTAATTTCCTCACAGTTTCCATATCGGAGTAATTGAAGTTTCTCATCATTGAACTTCAGATTGTTTTCTGCAGTCCATTTAAAGATTTGGTTGATTATTATTATTAAAGATTCGCCGGTATTTCTCCCGGCCCGGGCCTTTTCCAAATGGTGTTAGTTTAATATGAATCTTGCAGTGTCTTCAGTGGAGAACACTGTCATGTAAATTCGGGTGTCATCTGCATAGGGAAGACACGGTGCTGTGGCTTATATCCCAGTCTATGTCAGATATGAGGATGAGGAACAAGATGGGAGCGAGTATTGTGCCTTGTGGAACAGCTTTTCACAATAGCCGCCTCAGACTTTACTGTTTACT